CACGCACACGCACACACACACACACACACCCACCCACCCACACACACGCACACACGCACACAGACGCACACACGCACACACGCGCACACGCGCACACACACACACACGCACACACACGCACCCACACACACACACACACACACACAGAGACACACACAGACCGAGGTTCCGGGACTCTGATTGCCAGTTGTATAGGATCATCGGATTCGAGATGGGATCGAGTCGGAGCTATGCGAAACATGCGACGGCCGCTACAGCCCTGTCCAAGTGAGCACTTGGAAGCGTCGGCCAGGATCCAGAGCTGGCAAAGACCCTTCATCAGACGACGTCGTGGCTTGGACGGTGGATTCATGCTTTGTAGCATTTCTCTAGCATGTCTTTAAAGGAGCATAGGGCTGCAAGCAAAGTCGCAAAAAAGAGGCCGAGAACCATAAGAACCTACCGAGGAATGCCTTGGGCCTGCTGTAGAGTGGGCCTGCTGAGGGTGGATCTCCCGCCCCCCCGTGCCAATGACCACCCCCCATGACTCGACTCTTGGGTCTCCTGGACAGCGGGTATTGGCGGCATAGGTTGGGGGTAAACTCGCCAGGATAAGCGCAGGAATCCGGGTAAAGAACAGTCATGGCTGCACAGATGGGTGCTCCGTACCGAGCACTAGTCCCTCCGTAAGATGGCATGTGTGTCTTCGTGCTGCTGTGCTGCGAGTACTCGGCACTACCAGCATAGACCGGGCTTCAAGATCAGAGGTTTGTCAGGAGACCTGGTGTGAGTCCTGGAGATTATGGATAGAAGGCTATCAAGCTTGATGGAGGTTTCCTTTGGCCGCTCAGCATGTGCCTGCAGCTGCAATATACTTCGACCGAACTGAACGTCCCACGTCCGATCTGTTTTCTGCGTCACAGCTGAGCTGCCGTGCCTCCGTGCTGTCAGCTGAATTAGCCGCTGTGGCGGAGCTTTCGAAGAAACCGGCAGCCTAGAGCGATGCGCTTGCGGACCGGAGAGAGCTTCACTATGCATCGATTTAACCTTTCGGAGTGGGCAGCGAGGCTTTTGGCCAAAGGCTGAGCCGGCTGAGCCGTCCCGGCTAGACCAATTTTCCTCTTGGAAGGTCTCGGAAACCCTGGGTGCTGTGGTGACTCGAGGCGCGCCCTTGCGCATCTCGACACTCCTGTGCTGACTGAGCTCCTGAATTAACCTAGCCAACCTCGCCGGTGCGTCCAGGATGTAGGTTGCTTCGACTGCCGACAACAAGGGACCCAGGAGCTTGCAAGCATGGAATCTGGGCAGGCGTTGGTGCGAAAAACATCTAGCCACTTTCCAGAGTCACTCGACTCGAGTCAGTGCGCTGGTACAGGAGTGCATCTTAGGGATGGGCTGCACACTCATTCGACCCGAGAATGTTTCTAAGCACTGTCATCACCGACTTGCACAAGCAAGCTACAGCAGCATCTGGTCCTGAAGCTGGAAGGCACGATCTAGTATTGCAGCTAAGTTGTTGAGGATGCAACGGCAAGCGAGAAGGTCTTGATTGAGAATGCGCTTCGCCATTGGAACTTGACAGTGTGCTTGCAAGCCCAAGCCGGATCAAGAAGAGCACTCGTCCGCACCATGATGCGAGCAGAACAGGCCTTGATAGACAGCTGATAAGTGCCCGAGACATTCACGCTTGCTGACTGCAGCTTCTACAAAGGCCCACGTATCACACCGCAGACAGTCAAATACATGCCTAGCACTGTCACGCAGTCATTTCCCTCTCAGTCTCTCAGTTCTTCACGCATCAAACGAGGATTGGGCACCGTACCTGAACAGCCAACATACTGGTACTGACGATTTAGGAATCGGCTTCTTCGGGCCTTCATTCTTCGACTTTGCTGTGAGATTATGGTGCGGTAGCGACCCTGCACTCGCAGCAGCAGCCATCATGAGCGACCAGCTCGGAGCCCAGAGTGGCAGCCTTGTCATCCCGGGGGGTCACCCCCAGTCCAAAACTTAAAACCTCCTTGCTTATCCAGGCAGATACAGCAGTCCCTCGGGTGTTCTACCGTCAGCCGACGATGTGCAGATGTTTATTCTCAAGGGGTCGAAGACGGAGGGCTTGGTCGAACTAGAACCGAGCCAGAGCCAAAAGCAGAGCTCTCCCAATGATCCAATCGCTTGAGGCATTGACCGTTCCAACGAAAACTCCGCTGGCAAGTCTATCTTGGTATCCCCTCAGCCTGCTCCGAGGATGCTTCTGGAGGGCGGGCTCCTTACCAAGTGGAGCCGGGCTATGGCAAGCAAAGGCCTTGCTGGCCGTAAACTCGCTGGAGGCGAGCTGCTGCTGCTTGGGGGCGCCGGGCTTCTCCGCGTCTGGGGCTGCATGGCACAAGACCTGGCAACAAGGACGCGAAAGAGCACCGCGAGCCGCGAGCGTGCTTTTGCCTTTTCTTGTCGAACGAAGCTGCGCAGCTGCGAGTACCCGCTGCTGCGCTTGCTGCAAATATGCCCGGGAAGTGGCCGAGCCAGAGGCTGAGCCTCGAAGCTCGTCTCTGAGAGATCACAAGCGGTGGTTTCACCAGTTGAAGCCTCAGGTGGTGGTCGAATCTGCTCTTGGTCATCGCAGGCCACGCTGTGTGCCTCGAGTGAAAGGGCTTCCAACAGGGCTGAACTTCTGTGCAAGGCCACCATGAAACTATTGACCTACAGCCACAAGTCAAGCGGGCTCCAGTGTGGCGTGCTGTTTTCGCTGGGGGCATGTGCACTGTCCGTCACGTGCCATGCATAAGTCGAAAGCCGTGTTCTGAAGTTCCGGAAACTGTCAGGTGTGATTCTGCTGCTGGTCGCCATCTCCACGCTGCTGGGTGCACAGGAGCTCGTCCACCTGGTACCTCCAGGATCACTCTGGGTTCCTCCAGCCTTGGCCTATGTAAACTTCCCAGGACGTAGGCTTCAACCTTTTGCTTGAGCTCGCTGCGTTGACCATCGTCCGCCGGTCTTGTTTTGAGAATGAGTAGCAGCTGCTCTTCCAAACAGGTTCTTCTCAGCTCGGACTTGGACTTAGTTGCCAGGTCCTCGTCATCGTGATGAGTGGCTTGGGATGGCAGGCCTGCGACAGCAGCTGATTGATGTGTACGCGGCGGCACCGTGCAAACTCTTGCAGTCAGCCAGCGATGCTTGGAAGACCATCCGCTGGCTTTGCTTGCCAGGGTGGCGAGCACGAGCAACAGAGGCCGTGAATTTTCTCGACCGTGGGTCCGCTTTGCTGTAAGATACTAGTATAACCCAGAAACACCGAAATCCCCAGGCCCCAGACCAATCCGGAGGTTTTTAAGGGGTGCAAATTCCAGCTTTCCTTGTGCCTGGTGTCAAGCTGTTTATGGTTGATGCGAAGTTCATTGCTTACATGCACATACGTGTAGATAGGTCCATCCGTCCATCCATCCATGCATCCATCCATCCAGCCAGCCAGCCAGCCATCTATCCCTCCACGTATTTGTCTGTCTCTCTGTCTCTCTATTTGTCCGTCCGTCCGTCCGTCAGTCTGTCTTACCTTGTTTGATAATATCCTATGTCATTTCATCTTGTCTCGTCTCATATCACCTTATCTCATCTTTGCGTTATGTCATTTCATCGTATCTTATCGGATCTATGCCTCCTCCTATCCGAATCTAATCTAATGTAGCCAAATCTTATTCTACCCAACCTTACAGAGCTTTTTCTTATCCTACAGCGACAGCGCCGGTTAAGA